GGCCACAGCCACTGCCAGAGGGCCAGAGGGGCCACGGGGCCGAGGGAGAGGGCCAGCCAAAACCAACTGAGCCCACACACAGGAGGCAAAAAAAAAAACAACTGAAAACCTCAAAACATAGTAACAGATGAAATACATGTGAGTTACAAAACTTGATATATTCATGATGTTACTTTGTGAACAATATCAAGTTAGCACTGAGGACACCATCAATTTCGCAGCATTGGACAAATTTTAATTCTATCCTGATTATGGTAATAGATGAAATGTCAGGGGACCATTGCAAGTAAAGGAAAGACGGTAACAAATACATGTAAAATCTCAGAAATCCATCCAATATTTTTTGGGGGTGAATCAACAAACCATCCTTGACAAAAATTATATTCAACATATTATTCCCTCATGATTGTTGACCATCAGTAAAAAATGGTGATTTTAGAAGGTAGCTCACTCTTCACTCTGAAGTCTTGTGTTCATTTTAATATACTTTTTATGCTGCCAAACTGAATTGTAGCTCTGTGTTATCATCTAAATTTGCCCACATATATCAGGGGAGAAAAAATCCATAAATGTAGGATTTATGAAGATTTACTGTCGAGCGGATGAATGACAGGACAGCCGAGAAAGCAGGTGCGTTACTCTTAATTGGTATCAGACTCTGGAATATTGTACATCTATTTATGTCTGACACACTGATGCTCATAAAACTACATCCCTGGTCATCAAGTCTCTTCCAAACCTTCTGCAGCTGCTTCAAAACATGCAAAGGACAAAGACGATCCCCAAAATGCCATATGGAGGACTGTTTTAAACAGTGACTTGAAAGGAATATGTTTGAGCATGTGGGATTGACACAGAGTTTATTGTGAACATGTACCATAGGTTGGAGGTGGTGGTGTGGGAGGTAGCCACCGGCTCCAGTAGTCCAGAGAGCCACAGATGCTCCACTGTTTGTGTGTTGACTCTCTGTAATTTGTTTGCTCTAATTTGTTTTGCCGTGCCAGGGGAGTTCCGATTTTAATTTTGCTCTGTGTGTGTTTACCCCTCTTTGTGGATCGCTGATCTGTTAAGCACAGAGAGAGGGAGAGACAGTCAGTGCGGAGGGTGGGCTGTTCACAGAGCCAAATTAAAAAAGGAGCAGTGCAGATTGTTTTAAGCTCTGGCAGCCCCTTCAGGCCCAAAGGCCTCGCTCGCAGCCTGCACCTGCTCCGTCCCCTGGGAGCCTGGTTCCTGATCCGTGGCCCTCGCTTCTCCTCCCCGGGCCCCTAGCCCAGCCGCCTCATCCCCTCCTCTCCTTTCCTCTCCTCTCCTTTCCTCTCCACTCCGACTCTCTTTTCAGTCTATTCCTTTCCCTATCCACCCCTATCTGCTCTACTCCTTCCCCTCCAAAAACTCCTGATGCTCCTTCCCTCTCTCCTCCTCCCCAGTGACTTCCCACTATCCCTTCACTCCTCAGTCCTGGCCTCTTCACCCCTTCTCTCCTCTCCACCACCTGCTCCTCTCCTCCTCTTCCTCATCCCTCCTTCTCCTTTTTGCTCCTGGTTACTTCCCGCTTTGCCCTGGCTTAACTTTCTCCTTTCCCCGCCTGATTTTTTTTGGCCTCAACGCTCCCTCCCAAGTTTTCCTCTTCCAGCTCCTGCTCCTCTCCTCTCCTCCCATCTCGCCTGCAGTGGCTGGCAGACTCTTAATCAGCCCCCCTCCGCACCTGAATGATTGTGACTTGTTAGCATGATTAAAAAACATACAACCGCTCACATGAAATACAGTCAGAGATCGGACATTATAACACACTAAAATGTAGTGTACGGCTCAATAAAGCCACTGCGTGACATCAACACTGCTTTCATTAACCAAATACACGTGATAAGGGTGCAGATTAAACTCAATAACGACAGCGTTTTTAAAATTGTCACAGCTATTCTTTATTGAAATCATCCAGTCGCTCCAGTTTTTTTTACGACTGCACAGCCATAGGTAGTTTGATCAGTCAGTCAGCTCTACATACAGTATTGTACACTTTGTCACACATACAATATTTACATTACGCCAGCAGTAATGCTATGACATGGTTCCAATAACAAGACATCTAGTTTTAATATGGCTTGATTAAAGCAGTCCAACTTGTACTGTATATGACGCCCAGACTGGATGAGGTGACTGAAAAGCACGCGACCCACGCCGGGGTGGGTCAGGTCAGGGTGCAGATCACAGGACGACATGGTGGAAGAAGGTTGTTACAACAATCCCAACAGCTGGATCCAACTCTGCTCTTCGCTCACTAACTCACTTGTCAAGGCTACAATCTCAAAAAAGCGTTTTATTCCCCCAAACTGCAAAAAGTCTAACCTACTCAGGTACGTCAAATGGTACAGACGTGCATCTAGATTTGGTTTTCCTGTCCAGGTTTTCAGATAACTACTTTCAGCCCAGTACAGTGGAAGTACATGGAATTTGATTTCATACCGAAAACTGGGGGCACCAGAACAGACTGGAAATACATCACTACCATATCGTCAACTTAAGCATAGCCCCTTACATTTATGCTGTCCGACTCCTGAGGTGAGTATCTGGCTCTTTAGTTGCTAAATGCTCAACTATGTTCACCAGCTAGTTGCTGTGTCCGCTGCTTCTGAAAATAATACAGATAAAAGTAGTGAGACTGAACTGAAACAGTGAGGCTGTGGGCCGTAAAAGTGAAAAGTGAAAGATGCTGAAACTCTTCATAAAACTGAGGGAAACTATGAAGTCAGGGGATAATTCACTTCAGGTTCATCACTACAACTGACTTCTCTCACATCATACATAGTTATTTGATTCATTGTTCATATAGAAATATTGATAATAGCAGCTTTACAGGATTATACAGCAACATCTTTTTCCAATATTTCTGTTTCCTCAACCTACAAACCATCTGTGTCTTTTAAAGTTTAGTATTTTACACAATTTTTGATCAAATAAACTAAAACTCAAAGAGTGAATTACTAGTTTTTCAGGGCATTAATCAGATTTCACCTCAAAGTGTGCTATTATATCATCTGTATCATTTACATGTTTGCTGTCATTTGACTTTAATTTTGCGACAGCCCCGCTCTGAACAGTTTCCATTGGAACTACTTTCTACTGATGAAACAAGCACTATGAAACCCACTGACAATGTGTTTCCTGGAATAGAAACAGACATAGAGGAAAAACCTGGACAAACAAAACCAAAACTATCTCTATGGCTAAATACCATTTGATGTAAGCAAGAAAATGTGTTTTGTATTTTGGGTGTACTGACCCTTTAACTTAAAGCACACCTACTCTATGTGTACCACAATCTCTTTTTCTTTTTTTTTCTTTTTTTTTCACAGCCACCACATTTTTGTATTTCCACCTACTTTAACGTGACGGACAAAAGCGAATACTTCTCCAGACATTTTGGTCCATAATTTCAACTTTCTCATCTAGCGATATTTAGTTCTGATTGATTTGGTATTCTGACTCAGTCTGCAAAGACTTTTTCATCAACTGCTTCACTGATGACATTCACACCCAGTAACATTCACATACACACAGCCAACATAAGCAGCGCAGTCCCCTCGCAGCGTATTCATTATTGAAACACTCGGCATCCTGCGTTGCATCCGTGTTTCCCATTCATTTAGCCTATTCTGTACCTTCACAGCAGACTTGTCCCGCTTAAATAAGGTGAAAATAAATTTCCACTAGTGCAAAATAACATCTCTCTTTGAGAGCAATAAGAAAACAAAGATTAACAAAAATATATATTTGACACATAAGTTCATGTAGAAAGAATAATAACCAAACGGCACTGATAATAAATAATATCACAACAGAAACTGTTGTAGAGAAGTTTCACCCATTTTTAATGTTCTGAGCACTAAGGCTGATTTAACGCTGTGCTCAGCTGCAGTATGTAAGTATGAATGCAATCGCATATCACACCTACATACACTCACAGGTCACCTATGAATGGGAACAAAAATGTTGAAGTTTTGGAATGAAGTAGAAGTAATTTCATGCGTTTAATGAACTACAGGTCCTCTGGCTAGAATGACCTTGACGTTACAGAACAGAGAAGGCAACAGGCTGACTGCTGACTCCATCTAGTGGTCAGATATAAGAAATACCACTCTTCAAAGAAAGGACGCTGAAATGAAATGAAATGACAAAAAACAACCCAAAGCTCAACGGTAACAAAGTGCAAACAGATATTCACTTACTGGAGAGAAAGAAGGATGATAACTGGTAAATGAAACAGGCACAAATCTGCTCATCTTTTCCTCCTATTCAACAGGCCTACAAGTGGATCTCGAGTTGCAGTCTGATGGACACAAATCATTCTTTGATACAGATTCTTTCCACATACAGTAGCGTAAAGGAGACGACACAGGGATCAATCTGGGGCATGGACTGGCACTCAATGTCATCTGTGTTTTCTCTTCAGCACACGGATGGTTAAACAGCAGAGACACAGCAGCTGTTCCTTTTTAGCCACATGATCAATCTGTACCTGTTGGAATGGGTTTGTGCGTTATGACACATGGCAGAGTGGTGATTAGTTGCATCATTTCATAGCAAGTGAAGTGCCACCTGTCTTGTCTTGCAACGCTCCTCCGTTGTTGCCGCACTTTTCATTAGATGAGATGTTTCCTCTGTGGTAACCTTTCACACCAGCTTCTGCATCTTAGGACGAGACAAATAAGGCAAAGACGAACTGCCGCGGGGACAGTTCTGACGTTACAGGAGGGGACAAACCGTACAGTAGCATGTGTATTATTACGAGGTTCAGTTTGTATCCTCTGCATATGAACACCCAGTATGTCCATTAGGTGGTTGTAACATGCTGGGTACTGCAGTTGGAGGAGCTGGAATATTTTCTTCAGCTGTGCAATCTGTCGTCTGGACAGGTTGTTCCAGACGGATTTCTTAAGCAAAAACCACACAGCAGCCAGTTCCAGCCTCCCGTCAGTCTCAATCCGTCAGCTGATCGCAGGTCAGACTTCCAGGTCCGGCATTAACTCCTCTTTAAGCTGAATGTCATTGTCAGACCCCGTGCCCACGTCCGAGTCAAAGAGCGAGTGGTCGGAGTCGGGGGAGTGTGTGTTTGTGTGTCCAGCTGACTGGCTGCTGCCGTCGCTGTCGTCCAGAGTGTCAGTTCTGGAGAAGAGGCCAAAGTCCAGCAGGCCTGTAGGGGAGCCGCCGCTGCTGCTCTCGCTGTCTCCGTCGTAGTAAAGATCCTCCACCTCCACAAACCACTCGGGCCAGAACCTCCTCCGCATCCGCTCGCAGAACATGGCCAGGTTGATGAGCTCTCCTGTGGGGAGACAGCAGGTTCACATGTATGAGCTCTTACAGATACAGCAGGAGGTGGCACCGTGAGTCTGACACAGCTCTGATGGCAGCTGTTTTTTACTGTCTTGTCCCCTTCTAACAAGTGCTTTGATCATAAATTAAGTATTAAAACTTAGAATCTTCATTGGTTACATCACAAGCTCTGATACTGTTCACTGAAACGATAAGAGACTTAAGTGTCTCCTCTTCTAGCAACGCTGTGCAAGACGTAAAAGCAGCTATCAAAGCCAGCGTCGGCACTGCATTGCAGTAGAATATCACTGCCATCTAGTGGGTTAAAAGAAAAAAACACGACTATGACAAAGCAGCAGGGGAAACTGTAAATGCTCGTGAAAGTTCAGCTGCAGTTGTTTGTCTGCAGATCTACTGACCTTTGATGAGTTGCTCTGGTCGTGTCCCTGGTAGAGTCCACATGGCCTGAGCGAGATGCCCAAACACTGTAGCATCTAATGTAGACATCTTAGAGCCCATGAAGTATTTCTTATCACCTACAACACAGAGAACAACAATGTCAACTTCTGATGCAGAGAAAAATTTAGTTTCCACAGCAATAGGGAAATCTATGTGTAAATGATAGAAACAAAATTGCTTCATTCTGTTGATTGTAAACTAGATGTTAGATAAGACAACAAAAAGCAGATATTGCATTCATATGAACTTTTTATACTAGTAGCACCACTTGGATAGGCAAAAGCTTTATCCTCAGCCTTCAGTAGTTATAGCAACAGTTTATGAATTACTTTTGGCTCTGTTTTTACCTAACTATTTACCACTTTTAGCTTATTTTGTATAACCATTCACCCATTACCTTTGGCTCACTATTCAAAGCATTCATCATCACTTTTAGCTCACATTTTGACCGTTCATTTACTACTTTTTCTAACAAATTCGAGCCATTTGTCTTACCTTTAGCTTAATGTTTTTACTATTACATGAAACTAATTATTCAATATACTTTCATATTTAATTCAACTGCTAATCCATTAATTATCCATTTAATTTATTATTGTCAATGCATATCCTCCCTTAAATATCTAGACCAGTTATTTACTATATTGTCTCCATTAATTTTAGATAACTATTTCCACTTCTTTGCTAGTTAAGCAGCTTTCATGTGCTCTCAACAGCTACACGTGACTTTCAGTTGCTAGAACATGCTCTTATTAGCTCACTATAAGGATTAAACAAGTTGTGCGGTTGTATTTGGGTAGTTGTTTGTCTACAAAACACACATATGAGGATATCTCCTCTATAGAATTCTATCTACTTCTTCTTCTTAAAAAAATGCAACTACTCTACAGTCTTTTATGTTCCTCTTGGCAACCGCTGAAATACCTCCTGGCTGGGATTCACAGCTTTAATACTCCCAATTACACTGAATACTGAAATCACTCAAAGATTAAAAAAATAAATAAAAATACAAACTTTGTAACCACTGTTAATAATCCAGAGTGAAAGCCAAACACTACAGTGAGGTCAAGTGAGAACAGTTGCTATTAAGTCCTCATGTGCCTCCCAGCACCTTTTAGAGAACACTCTTAATCGTAAACCAATTTCATCTCGAAGCTGGAAAAGCTGCACTTCTGGCAACAACAACAGATTTCAGAGTCACACTTCTGGCACTTGTGCGGTGCAAACATTTAAAAAGGAGAAGCCATATGGTTGCAGAGTGTACTGATGCTTTCATTCTGGGAATGACTTTCCATTTTACAACATTGGTTTAAATGACACAAACAGATCAATGCAAAGAGCTTTTCTTTCCTCCATCTGACTGCTTGTTTCCATCTGAACACTCTGATATTGCATCCAGACTGCTCCCTGTTCCATTCATTTGTCTGTACCTCAATAAAAATTCAAGCGCAAACAAGGAGGTAATGAGGATTTCATACTGACATATACTGAAGCCACAGAAATGAATCTTTGGTCTGTTGTCTGTGAGGAACATAAACCACTTGTAAAAGATAATTTATCAGACTGCATTAGTCATAAATACAAGGCCACATTAGCCTGAAATCAAACATTTTTCCCTGTGAGCATCTCGGTGTGGGAATATTGTCAATAAATTTGCTCTAAACTCTTTTCCTCCTTCTCTCTCCATTATCAACACAGATACTTCTTCTGCTTTCTGCCTCTTTAATTTTTTAGGGTGGGAATAAAACATTTCTCTAATTTTGTCATTTTTTCCACAACTATCCATCCACCAGACTGAGTTTATGAATGCATTTGAGACAGTGCTCCTAGAAAACAATAAAAATCTTCCTGCTAGAGGAAACAGATTTGTAGTAAGAAAAGCATGTAATTTCATTATGCCCTAATTTTAAAAACTGCCAGCTCTGCTATCAGTTTATATAACCGAGTTAGGGTAGTCCTTTAGACATAGCTCTGTTGAGGTGAGTGCTACTCCTAATGGAATAAGCATTGAAACTCTTCCTACCCAGCAAAGTGGCCAGCGTCCTCATGTCCTTCTCCATCAGCGCGTACACCTCCTCCCTGGAGAAGCGTCCGATGCCGTGGCCGTACATCTCCCTGCGAACCATGCTGCCGTTCAGGTGGCTCAGCAGCCACTTCAGCGTGTCGCTCAGAGGCCCGCTCATCGCCAGCAGCTTCTGGGTTTCCTCCAGGTTGTCCACCCACTGGCAGTAGGCTATCGTCCTGAAAGAACACGCAACGCAGACAGCGTTACCATCACAGCAGCTGGAACAAAAACTTTTTAAACCCAGAATGTGTCGTAGCAACACCTGGAGTGTCCTAGCTCTTGGGTTTTCTTAGGTAGATTCTATGTTTAAATGCAACATTCCTAATATTTCACTAAGTCCAAAAAAGCGTTTGATACAACTCAGTCTGACAGGTAGTAGGATCATGAAAGCAGAAGAGACAACTATGAAGATGTTGCACCTTCCAACAGCTTCACCAATCATCTGGATGGTGCAACATCACCAACAGTAGTCCCAGGAGCTTCAGTACAAACCAACTGGTCAACTTCAGATCTCATCCAAGAGACTTCTTCAGTTCTAGCTTCCAAAGAAGCATCCAGGATGAGGGTGAAATGAGAAGTTAGTAGTCTGGACACTTGTCAGGTGTCTTACTCCCTTTAGTGGCCATTCTTTGGTTTTGAGCATATTTAAACTGATTAATTAGAGCTTCTCTAAGTAGTCTTTTGTGCAGTGTAAAATACTCAGTGCTCTTGTTGTAAAGTGCAGGTGATACCAGTTGGAAAATGCAACATTAACCTTTTAAACCGCATGAATCACGTTAACATATCTGGAATAAACTAAAAACATAAACTCTCACTGTATGTCTTAAGTGAATTAATGAGACCCAAACTTACATAAGCATTAAAAAAA